GCGTGAATCAGGCATTAGGCAACGAGGAAGGACTATTGGACCAGGAAATAAACGCCAGCGTTAGAGCAGCTCAGAGCTGCCCTGCTAGATGGTGCTGTGGACATAAGCATCTTTCCCTCAACCAGTGTTCCCTGTAAAATGAGCATTGGAGCAGCTGCCCCGGAGCGATTCAAATGCCGCCCAGCTCATTAGCACACCTCCCTCAGCTGACCACTGCATGTGTTTCTACTGGTGGTGCACAGCCACACATGCTGAGGTGCACATAAAATTTATTCCACACAGATGGACAGAATTCGAGGGAACGTTGCTCATGACTGGAGACAGATAAAAGGGGTCATAGTTTGGGGTTCGATGGGACAGGTGCGTACGGCATCAGGAGAACGCGGCTGGAGGACTGGTGAGAATAGGCCACCAGACAAAAACTGATTTCCACTGGGCTGTAAGTCCCAAATTAGTGCACTAAGGAAGTAGCATGATTATTCCTAACCATCCACAGGAAAGGGGATCACTGAACAGAGACAGAGCCCCCTTCCTTGCTCCCAGCTTAATGAATTCTGCAAGCACAAGTCAGAATTAGGGTAGCCGCTAAAGCTGAAGGTCACCAGTCAGCCTTAACTCTGCCCCACGCTTTATCCAGGATGACAAGTCTCAGTGCAAGGGCTGTGAGAGTCTGGATCTACAAAAACAACAAGGAGTCCTCAGGAATTAACAGATTTCTTTGGGCATAAGCTTTTCTGGGTCAAGACAACTTTGTCAGATGCATCTTGGTTTTTACCCATGAAAGCTTATGCCCAAACAGATCTGTTAGTCTCAAACTCAGGCCCAGAGAGACATCAGGGAGAGAACAGAAGGCCGCTCTGACATGGATGAAAGGAATGGGGTGTCCTGTAGCACTTTAAAAGCGGTCCGTGGCCAGACCTGACAAGCCGGCCTGAGGGAAAAAACTCCACAAGGACTAAAATAGACATTATTAGAGCAGGAAATTCTAAATGAGGTGGGCGTGATTTCTTAAAAGGCTTCTGCAATAAGTAGACCTTTCATCATGTCTCTCTCAAATGCCAGGAGCTGAGCTTACTGAAGGCCTGCTGGGCTCGGGGTAATTAGTGAAAGAGCAGAATAATATTGCAAGACTGCCCAGGAATAGAGGAGAAATCTCGAGGCGTCTCACACCGCTATGATCTGCGATAGCGAGACACACGGGAACGCCAGCTGGAAGGCAGGATTACCAGGCCGTAAGCTTGTCCACACCCCCGCCAATCCAGGGTCAGGTCTTGAAACACAGTGTGGATGCGACATACGGCGTCCATTTCAGTGTTACAATGGATCCTGGCTAGGTTTGGTACCACATTGATACCAGCGAGCCAGCATTTTAAAACCAGGCTTAAAGTAGGGTTTTGACCTCCTAGATTGACTGGCCAGCCATGATGGAGGGCACCAAAGCACGTTAGACCATTCCCTACCTGGCCCAGAACCCATCCCAATTGGGTGCGGGTAGAACAAATAGGGTCCAATTATATTTGAGTCAAAGGACTGGCTGCCAATGGGTTAAAGCTGTGATCAAGTCATTGATCTAAAGCCTCACACTGACAGGAGTTTTAACTCAGATGCAAAGCCAGTTTAGCTCCCATGTGCTATGCAGCTTTGAGCAGTGCTGTAGCTGGGGACATGGAGAATGCAGGATCTGGCAGTCCAAGTGCCTGCCTAGGATCCAAGTTTTGCATAGTGTTGGAGGCCAGTCAGAATAAACATGCAATCTAATGCAGTCAATTGTTTCCTAGCACTGGTCACACTGAGTCTACACTAAAGGGGAAGGTCAGATCAAGAGACCTAACTCCAGCTACGTTAATTATGTAGCTGGTGTCGACGTACCTTGCTTCGAGTTTCCCTGCCGTCCCCACAGCGGATGGCCATCAGCTTCCACTCGCACAAGCGGGTGTACTGGCCACCATCTGAGTTTGATTTAGTGAGTCTAGTTCAGACTCACTAAATCAAACTCCGGAAGATTGATTGTGGCGTTTAGTGACTACGTGACCTGACCCATAGGCTGAAAATGTATTTTCAAGTCTCAGAGGGGTTGCCGTGTTAGTCTGTAACTTTAAAAATTAGTGGTAGTCCTATGGCACCTTAGAGACTAACAAAAAAAATAAATAGTATCATGAGCTTCTAGATATAGGTTTGTTACCATTAGCCCCACTTTACTGACTGCTAATACTTCCCAATATCAAGGGGAAATCAGAGGCCTTGATGAAAATCCAGGGAAATTTTTTTTAATTCACATGAATTTTTCATGACACACATGCATTAAATATAGTTTTGTTATTGTACGACATCGCCTTCAAGGGCAAGTAGCCTGATGGGGGTTGCACCTAATACGAGGTGGAGGTGCCAAACAGGCAGAGACTATTCCAGGAGGTTAACACCTTCATAATATCCAAGGTGAGTGAGTTTTGCACTCCGGGAAGCAGGTGATAACATGCATAGAACGGCAGTGGGTTGCATTTTAAGTTACTAATTGGCATTGCTGATTGAAACACATCATTGCAGGCGGGAAGGGGGGGAGGTAGGGCAGGGTGGGGGGTGGGGAGTGGAATTGCGTTTATTTACAAGTGTTTCAAGCCTGCAGAGATGCAAAGCAGGTACCACAATGCACACCAGAGAATGCCCTCCGCCTGGACAGTGCAGGACTTGTATTGGCAGTAGAGGGGCACGGTGTACAAAGCTTCCCGGGTCCTCAAACCTGGTTAGCACATGTCAGTCTAGTACGATTATTCGTTGTGCTGTGAAATCACCTAATCACCGACCAGGATCCCATTGGGCCAGGCACTACACCAACAGAAGATGTCGGTTCCTCTCTCAAGATTTTGCAGTCCATGAGTCAGGAGACAATAGGTGGGTGCAGACACTTTGGAGAGCACAAGGAAACCAGATGTTTCCTGGCATGACAAAGTGGGCATTGAGGTCAGCCTGTTCGCTTCGTTATGTTGCATATGATTTCCACTGCCTGCGGGTGTGCCTCAGTTACCCAGGAAAAAGGTGTCACCTGGTCACACACCCTTCCCAGGCTCAGCTTACCGTGAGTCTGGGCCATTGTTAACGTGACAGCCTGAGCACCCCCTTCAGTGAGTCACACCCGGAACTCCCATCCCCATCTAGATAGTAGCGCAGTGCCCAGGGAAACTGAGGCACGCACCTGGGGTTACGATGGGACAGTAGAAATCACATGAAACAAAGCAAACAGAGTGAATGCAATCCCTGCTTTGTCACACCTTGTCGCCATTAAGCTATCCCAAGAGAGACCTTTGGTAAGACGCGATGTATCTGGGTAACTGATTCTTTGCGTTGACTTGAAGAACATCTAATACACATGCACCTTCAAGGTAAGGGATCATTCGCTTCCAACCCCGAATTCATTTCGATTTGTAGACTGAGAGAAGGACCATTATGATACAGATTGACCCTCTGCATGTCACGGGCCCTAGATCAGGGTGGGGAACCATTTCTGGGTCGGGGGCCACTCACACACAGAAAAATCAGTCGGGCAGGGGACAGCAGAGACTGGTGTGCCAGTGCAGGCTCTCCAGTTCTGGGGGGATGAGCCCTGAGCCCCAGGGCCTGGATCCAGACAAGCCGGGGTCCGTATCTGGCCCCACCCCACCATAGATCCTCATAGTTGACTCCAACCAAGATTTCCTGAATCCTTGGGAAACAGTGTGAGAAGGGGCCATTTTCCTTAGCTGCCCTCCAGTCAGCTGTACACACGCCCTAGCGCCGCCGTGCCTTAGAGAAATAGCCCAATTCACGCCCAGTATTAGTACTACAAAACCAAGGCAGATTGAGTCTGGATCCAGGCAGGCAGCCGCACGCTCACTAGACGAACAGGCCGAGGGGTGAATCAGAAGGAGAACCTACATTAGTAGCGATGGTTGGGCTTTTCTCCAGGCTAACGCAGCTCTGCAGAGACTGCAGCGTATTCCGAAGCAAACTGGCCCGAACGCCTGCTGCAAAGAGCTGTCGTTCCACGAGCGAACTGGGATTTGCACGGCCGGCAAATAAATCCACACGCTGCAGTTTCTCCCCCACGCAACTGGGCAATGAATCAATGCGAATCAGAGCAGCCTCCCTTATGCTACTGGTTTTCACGTGATCTTAAACCCGGATTTCCAGAGCGCTGCAGGTTTTCGGTACCGAGGGGGTAGAAAGACGCGGCCCACAGCAGAAACTGGAGGTTGGACTGCTGATATCTAGGTGTCCCTTGGGGAAGGTATGGGAGGGTGGGGCACATGGGGGCAACAGATACGCATGTCGTCTCAGATTCCTCTCTACAAAACCAGGGAGTGTTCTAGATCGTCTCTAGACCCTATTCACAGCGGCCGGGGAGAACACAGATTCATAAGCAGCACAGTCAGGTAGTTAAGCACCTGTTAAAATTCACACTAGCCACAAAGGCTGGGTTATCCGCAAGTGAACACCACTTAGAGACCGAGAGCAGCTCTGATGCTGAGCGCACTTTGGGAACCTCTCGCTAGAAAACCAGAGTGAGGTTGCCTGTGGTAAACTGAGGCAAAGAGGTCAAATATACTCCACTTACACCCACCAAGCAATTCAGCATCAGAATTAGGAGTAAAGTCAGTCCTGGCCCCCAGGCTCCTGCTCGGACCACTAGTCCTGCTTCCTAGCAGGTCAGGTACACATTGGGGATGGTACGGTCAGTGATGAGAACAGGACACGTTCTTATGCAAGTGCCAGTCGCCACATAGGCCAAAAACAACCCTCTGAATGCTCCATGTCAGTGCCTCAGCGGGTGGCGCTACTGATTCCGAAGGCTGGGATTCTCCCTGGCTGCCTGCATCTAGCAGGGCCTGTCTGCTGCCTCTGCCAGCAAAGATAAAGCCACCTGAGCAAGTCCCACAGTTGGGAAGGAACCCACACAGCCCAACCCCCTCCGCAGCTTTGAAAACACCCACCGGAGCGGTTAGGACGTTGCTACACGTTGCACTTACGAGTTTGCTGGGTTCTGCTCCGCACAGACGGCCTCTCCCTCGCCGCTCACCACTCCCGTCGCTCTACGCATCCTTCCCGCTCCTGCTGTCGCTGGCCCTGCAAGGGTCCAGAACAGGCGCCGTTTGGCAAAGGTCCCGCACCCCAGTAGGGAGCCACCGTGTCTAGCCTGGTGCTTCCACTGCCCCTCCTCCCGCAGCAGCCCCGCTGCCCTGCAAGGGTCCAGAACAGGCGCCGTTTGGCAAAGGTCCCGCACCCCAGTAGGGAGCCACCGTGTCTAGCCTGGTGCTTCCACTGCCCCTCCTCCCGCAGCAGCCTGGCCTCCTGCTCTAGCACCTCCTCCCGACAGCCGCGAGGGGGGGGGGGAGGTCTAGGTTACATTTGGTGCCACCCCTCCCTAGGGACAGTCTGGCAAAAACAAGTCACCACAGGGTCTCCCACCCTTGACTCCGGCCGGAGGGGCCCCTTTCCTCAGGGTCTCCAGTACCCATCGCCCTCCCCAGGGGCTTCCTGTCACCCCAC